TGTGATTGTATTTGGCAAGGAGCTCAAAGTTACCAATGCTGTAGGAAGGATTTGTTATTTAAGAGTCATTTCCTTTTCAGCAGTCCCTTGTATGTTCATATCAGAGGCATTATATTTCTTCCTTTTGTGTTTACTTTTATCATTGACGTAGTCTGAAGTTTACTGCTGTATTAACAAGGATTTTGTGTGTGAAATAGGTTTTTTTCTCAGCCCAGTGCTAAATTATGCTGATTTTTATGTAAACTAATCCAGAAAACTGTTGTTTCAGCAGACTATTTATAGTGACTAATGTTTGAACTTGGCTGTTGTGAGAGGCATGCATATATGAATTCAGTAACTCAGTAGGGTCTCGATCCTGTTTCTTTTAAGTCATCAGTAAAATAATACCATATTACCAAATAATACCAGAAAGCTGGAAGAAGAAAAAAAAGTTCAAATATCATTCAATTACTCACATCACATAGTAGTTGTGGTTGTTTTTGTTTTCAATTAATTAAATTTTAAGACTCTTCAAGGCCTGAAACTGAAGTTTGGAAAATGCAAATTCTTTCTCCAATACAGTATTTGTATGTGAAGATAATTCTAATCCAGATTGACTTAATCAGAATAAAACCTGGACAATAGCACTTGACAGAGAAATGCTAAGTTTTATTCTTTAGAGCTTTGAAATCTGTGTCGGATAAGTTTAGTGTTTGAAAACAGTATTTTCATTCTGTTTTAACATATTGAATTTTTAAAACATGCTGATTTTGTAAAAATTGCTTACTTTAATATACTTATTTTTTAAAAAAATTGCTGTGTAGCAACCCATTGTTTTCTGTTTCCGTTCGATCTGGAGTGACTGTAGTATACACTGCATATGAGGTCAAAATGAAATAAGTAGTTGGCAGACTAGATGGTCAAGATCTATCTTTCCCCCCCCCCTCTTTGTTCCTTCCAGAAAATTCTTGTTGATTTCCTGGTTGCTTTTTTAGATGTTGTCTGGCACTTTAGAACTGCTGAAAGATGCTCACTCACTTTTAGCTGCGCTTTCAGAGATGGTCCTTTCACTGACTCCTTCCTGGAGCCATTCAGGATGATACCAAAATATTAAGGATCTTATTTACAAGCAGATGAGTACTTCTGTGCTTGGCAGAACTGAGTGGGCATATTTTTTTTTAGCACCATAGCTATTTGAGAAATTCAGAAATAATGTACTAGGTTTTGCTTTAGACTATGCATCTGAAGCTGAGCTAAAAAATTGTAAGCATGGGCCAAATTAGTTTCAAGACCATTCTTCTCTTTCCTCTGTGAAAGATCCTGCTTTTTGGAAAGTACCAGATCTAATCTCTCCCTCTCTTCTATGCCTCAGGCTCTACTATTCTGAAAGAAACCTTCTCTCCAGTTTCCAAGATCTTCACAGGAACTACTCTCACAGGGCCTGTCTGGTTGTTACTCCTGGTTTTCTCTCGTGTGTGCTGTACCAAACGGATGCTTACAGAATGTGGCAATCTTGTCAGCCTGAAGTACAGGTCCACATCCACAGCAGTTTTTCATCAATGAATTTATGATATTAGATCTAAACCTACAGTGTGCCTGAAGGCCACGGCTGGGTGCATAGTGTAGGCCGTATTCCAAGAGAACAAATTTTGAGTGAGAACATCAGGCCTCTCAGTTGGATTGGGTTCTGTTCTCCATGAAAGTGAAAGTATAGGGGTAGTTACCAGATCTTTGTGAGTGTGGAAGGTGGCAGAGAAAGCGATCTTTCTCTGAAAATGTTAAACTCAGGAAGAGCAGTCGCCATGTCCTTTTGATAATTCTTGCAGTAAGTAAGTGAGTAGCGTAGAGAGCCACTACCTACCTTATATTAGTAACAAGAGTGTTTACTTAAATTTTTCTAGTAACCTGAAGTTACCTAGAGGTTTGTTTTGTTTTTAAAAAGGCAGGTGTCAAAAACATACAATGAGATGGCTTTGTAGCATTCTATCTTTATCCATGCAGTAGCAGAAATAACTGTAATTCCTTATGGACTTTATATATTGTAAACTTACTTAAAAGTAGATTCTTAACTTCTTGTTTTTACGTACTTGTAAACTGTCTTTTATTTGCAAGTAGCTTTCTCTTTTTTTTTAAAGCAGGCTACTGTTTCCTTGTTTGTAACCACATAGGAGTTAACATTTTATGGCTGATAGACATTCTTTTTCAAATGAGGTATATTCTCTCCTTATTCAGGAAGCTGGTGGGTTTTCAATGCACATGTGTTGGCCCTGTTGTCTTTCTTCTTTTTACCTTCCTGCTTTTTTTCTTTTTTTTTTTTTAATTTTACAGATGTCACCAGTCATCAGTAAGTCAGGGGACCTGAAATGCGTCTCAGAGCGTGACACAGATAGAGACTCACCTGCAACACAGTAAGCAAGAAATATTTTAACTAATCTGTAGTGTTACGTCTGCTAGAAAACAGTGACAAATGTCTACAGGGTTATTTTGTCTTAGCTAGCAAAACAAGAAAGTGGCTCTAGGGTACTCATTCAAAAAGAGTGCTTCACATCTAAAATGTGAAGGAAATAACAGTTTATATATACATACGCACAAAATTGTATACTATTGTGTATATGGGAATCGTAACTAAAGGGTAGAGCCTTGTCCTGTGGCATTCCCTGCCTATGTGTTTGACTTCATTTATACAAGCAGAAGATTCTTTTTGCACTTTCTAAAAATTAATGCAAAATGGAAAGGGTCACATTCTGAGAAGACATAATTTAATACTTAGATTATGTTGCTTGCATTTCCTAAAAATTTTATGCATTTCTTGTGTGAAAGCTGTAAGAAGGTAAGACGTCAACATTTTGAACAAGAGCTTCCACAATGTTTTTAGCTATTGCAAGCATTTATACTTGGAAAAATACACCTAAAAGCACTTGTTGGGTTTGCCATTACAGATATCTGCCATCGAAGCGAAGTTACTTCACTGATTATTTTCCAGATTGGTTCACACACCATACAAAGAATACTTGCATATACAGTATAGATGCATATTTATCTCTGATTTTAACTTTGAATTCCTAAATTTTTTTTTACCTCCCACCTGTAGCTGGATTTGAAAATAAATTGTGAGCAGAAATTTTAATACCCATCTTTGATGAGGAATGCATTGTAAAATTATAGAATACAGGGTTGAATTTTGACCTCATAACTATTCTCATAGGACTTAGGACTTAAGGAAGGAAATGCCTTAAGTGTGCAGTTGCCGTGACAGTTGACTCTGTCAGAAGTCAGTATCAGAAATTTGATAAAACTGCATTAATGGAACTAGAGCAAACAATTCTTTTGAGTGCCTTTTCTCAAGAAACTATTGAAGACTGTGGCAGTACAGATTTGAAATATGAAATCGCAATGATTTAATGAAATTCATTAATTTTGACTCATATCAAATGTTAAATATTCATTTTTATGAAAACTAAGTCAACCCTGAGAATAGATCACACAGCAATGTCATCTTGGAGACATAGAACCCCCAAACTCTTCAGTTGCATTTCAGAACACTGAGACAAGACGTATGCATGCCTGTGTCACTGCAATGTACACCCTTCTGCTGAACTTTCAGGAGCTGAAGCATCATGGAAATGAAGTCCTGTTTCATGTCATTGCTGTCTGATTTTGCAGTATTGCAAGCCTCATTTGCAAGTTCTCAGGGTACTGAGCCATTTATACCTGATTGTTAGTGAGGCAGTGACAAATGCTGTGAGATAGTATTTGATGTTATCCTTTATCAGGGCAGAGTTAACACAAAAAGGAAGAACTGCAGTGCAGTAAGTAACACAGTGTTGTATTTTCCTTCCCTGTGACCAGAGATTCTAGACTTCATTATGTTTTTGCTGCTTTGAAAGTACATACTTTGCAAGTTTTTCCATGAACTAGAATATAACATGTCAAAGTTTTTTTTAGAAGTAACTATAAGTTCTTGCCTTATTTTAAGAGCTGAAAGAGAAAAGAATCTACTTGCACCTTAAACCACTTTGAAAGACTGTTTCATGTTTCTGCTTATAAATTATTTATACTGAACACATTAGATATCAAAACATCTCTGAAACATGGCTGCATATTTTTCACTAAATATCTCACTTCTTTGTACTAAAATCATGATGAAGAGGGATTAGAACAGAGCTGTAGTTTCTTGTTCACTGCATTTGTTGTGACTTGAAGTACCCTAGAAAATGACATATATGCAAATGTTAAGATCTTAACTGGTAAAGTTTGCTATTGTAGCATCTAAAAGCTATTTCAACATGACTTGAGATCCAGTCTAATCTCTACTTAAATATTTGATTCATGTAAAAGTTTCCATTTTCTTCCTATTTTCTGTAAAAATATACTTAATATCCCTGTCACATGTGATTATATAATAGGAATTAAGTAGTAGCTAAACTATAGAATCATAGAGTGACTTTCATGGCCGCTAAATCATGCTGCCCTGGACTCCATCTAGCATGGTGTTCAACACTTCCAGGGATGGAACTTCTCTCAGCCCTGTTCTGGTGCCTTAATACCCTCTGTGTTAAGAATTTCCTTCTAGCATCTAATGTAAATCTTTCCTCTTTTAGTTTAAAACCACTCCCCCTTCTCCTATCTCTATCAGACTGTGTACAAAGTGAGTCTCCATCATGTTTACGAGCTCCCTGTGAGTACTGGAATGTCTCCCCGCAGCCTTCTCTGTAGTGAGCAACCCCAGCTCATAGGAGAGGTCCTGCAGCCCTTTGATCATCTTCATGGCCCACTTCTGGACCCACTCCAACAGCTCCCCATTTTGTGCTGGGGGCTCCAGGCCTGATCATGGTACTGTGGGTGGGGCCTCACAAGGGTAGAATAGAGGACAGTCGTCTCTCTCTTGCCCTGCTGGCCACTCTTCTTTTGATGCAACCCAGTTTACAGTTTGCCTGTCAGGCTGAAAGTGCACACTGATGGTTCACGTCCAGTTTTCCATCCACCAGAACCCCAAAGTCCTTCCCTTCTTAGCAGAACTGCTCTCAATGAGCTCTTCTCTCAGTCTGTGTACACAGATTGCCTCAATCCAAGCGCAACATCTTGCGCTTGGCCTTGTACCTCATTAGGTTCATGTGAGCCCACTCCTCAGCTTGTCCCTTCCTTCTTTTGTATCAACTTTACCACTAAGCTTGTTGCTGTGTGCAAACTTGCTGGGGGTGTACTCAATCCCACTGTCTGGGTCATTGATAAAATGTTGAAGAGCACCAGTCTCAGGATGGACCCCTGGAATCAGTTGAGATGTGATAACTAGGTACACGATTTCTCTACAGAGAAATGAAATTTAGCACATCCACAACTCACTATACCTTTATTTGAACCTTCAAATGAGGTTTGCCATTTTTCCTATTAAAATGGTATGGCCACAATACCTGCTGTAGAATGAACTGAATGGTAACCTACCTTTCAGAATTTCCAAATGGAAGATAGTTTTGCAATATGAAAACAAACTTTCTCCAAGGTGACAGTTGTTTTTTTTTTTTTTATCTTAGCCAAGCAGTTAACCTGTCTTCTGCAGTCTTCAGAGGAAGCAGAAAGCTCCATATAAAAGATACCAAGTGAAATAGGGTTTTTATTGGAGTATCTCAAACATTTGTTACATTATCACACCTGATGTGATTGTTCAAATAGTAAGAAGATGAAAACTACTTCTCAGAATTTGATTAGTTTTTTGCTGAAAATCTGCAGGATAGCTTCATCATTTAAATATTAGTGATTAGATGCCATTTCTCTGTGCAGACTTTTATCTTATTAGATATATTCTCATTTTACAATTCTCTTGTGCTACACAAGATAGTGCTCTCTCCATAATTTTACAATGATTATACGTCAGATCCAGATGAACACTCAGTTTGGTAGAAAATTATGTTTAACAATTAATTATGATTTTGAATCCTGATTTCCTCAAGCAGCAATACTTCTCAATTTGTCCTAGGAATCCTAATGCAGAGGGTCATAACATCCTGAATCTTCTCCCTTGGGATATTCTAGTATTAGAGCTGCAGCAATTTATGTGTTTTGAAAATATGTATCAAACTTATAGGTAGATAATAATAATTCCATTAGTAAGGCTAATACATGAATGTTTTAAAATATAAAAAATATTAGTACAATGTCACCAGGTATAGTGATCTTGCAGCAGAGTTTTTGGGGAAATTAGAAACATCCATTGCATTCTGTAGTCTTGATTCTTCTGCTTAATTACATGCTTCAACAGCATCCAACATAACACAAACCAGTGTTAGTTTGTGCAATGTGCAGTACAAATTTTGGATGAACACAGTAGCTGCCCTTGATAGATTACAGTTAAACTATTATACAGTTAAAGTATTAGTTAAAGTTAAAGTACTTCTGCTAAGAATGGGAATATATAGTAGAAGTGGTGTAACATCTGCAGTCCCTGGCATCATCTGCAAGACCAGTCTTATTCCCTTGTTCAGGCAATTAACTGGGAAAAATAAAGGAATTTGACTGATACCTTTGTCATTTTATGAAGTCTAACAAGTACAAATAGACATTTAACTGACTAATCCTATGAATGTGTCATAGTTCAGGTAAGTTAAAATAGGAAAACTAATCTTTTGCACTTTACCTGACTGTCGTCTCCCTTAAAATGTTCAATAAGTAAGCCATGAATTTATCTTTAATTGCAAGAATTTTGATGCATAAACTTAGAAAAGGAAAAAAATAAAAAGGCTCTTGCAATGACTTCTGTGATGGTGGAGATTGTAATTGGTATTTTTTATTACATCTGTTGACTGTCAATCAAGCCTTGCTGATTTTTAAGGTCAGGATCAGTTCTTTTCAAGGCAGTGCTGTGACATGTTGAAAAGCATCGTAGTAGAGTGGTCACATATTTTGTCCTCGTGTTTTTTTCTGCCTTTGTTCTGCAGTGGAACAGTAGTTTTTGTAGCTGTTTCAGCATTGTACTCAAGGGGAACAGGCAGACAATTGCTCTAACACATCAGCTGTGTGTGGAAAAAGCTCTAAATTTGAGCTAACTTTGTTTCTTTTACTCTTTTTATATCCACTTTTCTCTAGAAGCGTAAAGAAAAAGAAGAAAAGGATACAGAAGAACGAGATAGAAAATCAGCCCTACTTAATGGGTCTCGATTCTCCTGTATCATCAGCTAATGGTGTTGAAAATGAACCTACAGCCCATGGGGTGGAATTGAAGAGGAAGAAAAGGCCGGTGAGAGGCTCAAACTTAAGCACAAGTGGAAAGACAAATAGTGCTTTTGAGCCTGAATGCTATGATGTGTAGTCATCATTTAATTCCAAATACTGGTGTGACATGCAGTATACTCTTACATTTGAATGCTGCAACTGCAACTTCACTTCTAGGATTGAAAGAAAGAAATAACAACAACAAAGAAATAAATTAATCAAATGCACAAAATGGAGCTGGTTGTGAGTTACCAGTGTTGTAAGCCTGTTCAGAACAATTTTGTTCCTTGAAATTAACAGAACTTGAATGCTCAGCTCCTCATTGTACTGGTAAAATCTGAAATGCACTTTCATATTTCATGAGAACCCCACTGAGAAATGTAGTGTTAACTATGTGATTATATTCTAAGTCAGGCTGATCAGACATTTCTGTGGACTGCAGATCGGTCTACTGCAAGCAGAGAATAGAGTCATAAGTGTGATCTAGAACAGAGCACGCTTGACCGCAACTGAAGTTCTTGAATAAGCATTTTATGGTTTTGTTGAAAAATTGAGCAGCGTTCAGAATGGTGAAATTTCAAAGGAATGCTGGTATTACATTTTACCTGAAGAAACAAGCTTTTAAAAATTGTGTTCTCCTGATGGGAAATATTCACTGGGACCACATTTTGCAGCACTTAAGCAAATGGTTTAGTAACTAACTATGCAACTGCTCTGACTTCAGTGGGACTAGCCATGCTTACCAATACAAATAGGTGTTGGCAAATTTCAGGCACTTATATTTTCAAATGAAGTTTTATGCACATAGTAAGGGTGCATTGCAGTTTTGTCAGAGTTCCTGCTGCTTTGGCAGCAGTCTTGCCAAATATACATTCTTCTGTCTGAATGAGATATTTCATTTCAAACTGTGTTGTTTGCTTTACTCTTTCAGTTGTATGTCATTAATTGTTGTTTTTTTT